GTGACCTGTCATTAATTAATCAGCATTAACCTGTTAAGCCAGTCAAATAACAATAGACCATAAAGATGAACTGTTTTCTATAAATAGGCCACTAATAGTAATTGATTAGGTTCAGGTTCAGCGTAGGACACAAAACGTTCTGAGACTGTAATAGAAACACTTTAAAGACAAACGACTTTTTACAGCCTGAATTCATACACAAGCTGAATCAATGAGCGCAATTTTAATACAACTTCTTGTACTGTATATAGTAAATAATACAAATTTTTATGAACTCATTAGAAAACAAATTGGGTATAGTTCCTTTAACTCCTGTACTTTCTGGACTATAAGCCACTACATTTTTCAAGTTTTTTTTTTTGTTTTTTTTACCCAGCGGCTTATATAGCAATGTGGCTAATATGTGTATTTATTTTGTGGCGGAGTTGGGCTGTTGTCAGAGCAGAGTTTATGGACTCATTATTTTGACTCCAAGTTTTAGTAGCTACAGGACACTTGTTTATTGTCAAAATAAATGAATGAATCATGGAAGCTAATGGTTATCTGTTAAACACGTCACCATCATCAACATTACAACATGAAAACATTATATTCAAGTGTGGCCTATATGTGTACATAAATGTACTTTCTCTTAAAAATGTTGCTGGTGTAGCTCATACACAGGTGCGCCTTATAGTCCAGGGAGTAAGCTAGTTACAACATTAAACATAGTGTAAAAGGTCTTGAATTACAAATCAAAACACCATGTGTTTGAAATAAATATCCGCAAAATAATAAAAAATATAAAATTAAAATAAAACTAAATAAATAAAATCAAATATAAGGAAGTAAAGTCTTGATTCAAGTAGTTTTACCCAGCTAAATTTAAAGAGACTTAAATAGTTTTAACTACATTTTTTGTGAGATACAAGCAAACATTCTTATTTCAATATGCTATTTTTTTCCCCTGTACTGTTTAAATACATCTGCTTTATTTTCTGTGAAATAAAGTAGCTATTTTAAAATTGAGAAAATCAAACAACTCATGAGGTTGGGGACATCTGTCGTCACTTGAATGCTGGACTCCTGACCCTTTATTCTTCTTAATGCCTCGAACCCAATGCTACTTTCTCTCCTCTATACAACATCCTCCAGTTATAGGACCCAGAGATGTAAACATAGATGGTGACTGGCTTTCCTGTCAGATAACTTCTGGGTTTTCGCAACTTTTGGACTGCGTTTTCCTTAAACAAATAGCTGATGTCCCGCAACACAATGGGGTACACACTCTGGACTTGGTCGCAGCTGGCACAAAATCCATAAACAATCCAGATGTTTTTGTGTACAGCTACAATGTAATCTCTACAAATCTGCCACTATTGTCTTTGAAGGCAAACTACAGAATGAGCTGAGAATTTGAGAGCTTTTTCAAATGAACACATTTCCTTGCTGAAATATAAAGCCTTTGAGTTGTGTAAAAACCTACTAATACTACTGTAACAATGGCATGACTTTTGATTTTCCACGTCTCCCCTTTAAACTCATTAGACCTCAGTTGGACCGAAAAAAATACTTACTGGGCTGATGACACATTACTGAACACAATAATATTACTGTGATTGGAGCTTTGAATTGAGACAAAGGCGTGGATGAATTTCAATTTTCTCTATGACAACAAAAGCTCTTTGTTACAGCCCTACAAAAGCACCATTGTTTTACCAATTTAATCAATCACGAATGAATTCTAAATCCAACCTTGTACAAATAACAGCGCTGGTAGATATGGCACAGCACGTTTATTAATTATGTGAATAATAAACATTAATTTGGTGAAACATAAAAGACAGATCTTGTAAGCCAATCCAGAGTAATAAACTGCACATTCAATAGTCTCTCTTACACTTACACCGACTCTGCAAACACATTCCTCTACCACCTATATTTCAACAGGTGTCATAAAATAAACTGCTCTTTACGCCTGGAAAAATCAGTTGCCCACCATTCACCAAAACATACGGTCAAAAACGCGGAAATAAACAATAACAGCAATCCAGAGTGTCCGTGTGGCATTAGCATTAATTAAATTAATTGTTAATATAATTAAAATAATTAAATGGAGCTCCAACTGGTATTAAATCTAAAGTTTTTGAGAAATGTTTGCATTGCTTGTTAATTTTTGCTGCATAATTTGATCAAATATGTAAAACATGTCCGTAGCACGTTAAACTGTGGTGCCATTGTATTAATATACAATTATTTGCTCAAAAGTTGCCCTTTTTTCCAATTTGCGTTTGAATATCTACATTTATTCTCATTCTTCTGTTTAATGGGATGCACAAACACAGCAGCGTGCCATCAAAGATGGCGTCTCCGAGGAGGTCATGTGACATTCATTGGTCTGTGGGAACTATGGCCCCGTCCCGATTGAGAATGAGGGATCACGTGATAATTTGGGCGGGGTCTAATCCGGTCGGCCATGTTGATAGGATCCTCCATCGGTTGCCAGGGGCAACGCCACTAACGCTAACGCTCCAGAGGTCTTTAAATTGAGCACGTTTATTAGTTCGGCAGTAGATACATCTACGAATACAACACTAGCAAGACAGTTAATGGAGAAAGTGAAGGCGAAAGGAAATGGACCGTACAGGGAAAAGCTTCTACCCACGGCAAAACAACGTTATTTGGAGAAGCTCTCAGACATACAACAGGTAGACCCATACGAGCTTCCTGCAGCGGAGTGGCAAAAAGACCTAGACTTTTTGCCTCCGTGCACGTACATGGATATAGTCAATTACCTTGTTTTCGGTGTTAGTTATTACACAATGCAGGAGTTTAGAAGTCACAAGTCACTGGAGAGTTACGAGGCTTTCTGCTGTGGTTGGGTGCAGGACTTGGCCATCTACAAGCCTCCAGGCGGTGAAAACACCGTTGTACTTGCAAAGGTAACATAAAGACATTTTAGGACGTACCCGAGTGAAAATGCAGAGAACACACTCTCATCGACTGGGGGGTGAGATCGAAAGTAAGGTCCTTTCTTCTTATTGCAGCCAACCAAGCCATCCGGCGTCTCTTCGTCAGGTCAGACACTTGCGCTCCCTGATGTTGTATCCATTTTGGTAGCCTAAAAAATTGTAAACCGTTGTTCCTACGTTTTCCTTTCTTATTGTGTGAGGTACTGGAGCAGTTTTTCACACAGCAATGAGCTCCAGGCATGGTAAAACAGAAATAGCGATGACCTCCTTTGCTACCGAGTTAACAACAACTGTTTGCCGCTGGGTGGGATCCTACCAACATGGCGGAGACGGGGAGGGGCTCTGTGCTATGACGTCAACTCCTCACTCTCAATACTCGCACTTCCACCCTCGCGCCCCTCATTTGCGCGTTCCCGATAAAGGGTGCGAGTGCGTAGGCGTTCTGCTCTCCCAAAATTTCATCCACTGAGCGGCGCTGTGATCAAAAAATGACACCGTTTGTTGCCCAGTTCACTTCCCGTTGATTTCATACAATGGCGAATATGGCTCACGAAAACAACAAACGATTGACAGTGCCTGAATTGCGTGAAAGGTTGAAGCGAAAGGGTATTTGCAGTGTGGGAAAACGAAAGGAGGAATTGTTGTTGCTAGTTCAACGAGCGGATGGTGTTTATGAAGATTTAGAAGAAGATGACAGCGAGCAGAGTGAACGAAAACGGCTGTGTGTGCGAGTGACAGATGGTAACAATGAGAATGAAGTTCAGCTAAGAGGGAAGAATGTGAATTGGACGGATGATTTGCGCGATATGCCACTAGTTAGAGACGGGAATTTATTTGCATACAGAAAATGACGAAAACACTCAACCATTTAGAGAAAATGCGCCGGGCAGAGAGAACCGGAAGTTGCGAAGGTAAGTGTTACCCAATGTAATGCAACGCAAAATTCAGTCGCTCCCCCGCCCATCGGATGGAATTTTGGGAGAGCAGAACGCCCGAATTCTCCAGGGAGGTCTTTGGCCCCGCCCCCTTTGCGCCCCTGATCACATACCCCTGACTGCAGTCCGCAGATCGGGGCGGAGCTCAACGTGGGCGGAGTCAAACGTTTGACTCCGCCCACCAAGGAAGCTTCTTTTTTTTTTCTTTTTTTTAACGGAAGCGTTTTTTTTTTTTCATTTTACCCTGATTTTAATCTTGATCAAGGGTAAAATCATCAAGTTGATGATTTTAAAAAATAATTAATATTTATCGGTCCCGATATGCTTTTCATTCTTCTACTCCTTTGTATATTATGTATATTTATAAACTATTTTTGGTACCATTATTTATTATTGCACCTGATTCTGACCGATTCTGATGTTACACCTAAGCTTGTAATAATATAAAAAGCTTTTGTATGGGACACCATTCATTGTTATTTATATCAGGATCACATCTGGTGTCAAAATGTAAATCTTTGGTAAAACCTGTTTCTTTTTGTCTCAAATGTAAATACCAGCTTACATAATAGTAAGGTTACATAATATTCTATATTGCATTCTTGTCTCATAAAATAAATGATACTAAAATAATAGTAATATGATTACATTTCCATGAGCCCTCACAACTTTACACACAACTTTTTAATGAGGTTCAGCTCCCACTGAACTAGAACAGTGAAGTGAAATCAACATTTAATATCAGGCTTCTACTTTCAACTTGTCAAAAGCCTTATTTTTTTACTGTCCATTATTTTTTATCCATGCTGCCTTCATTTAAAAAAATAAAAATTCTTATATAAATGTATCCACTCAATTATATCAGCTACATTAAGGAGAACAGAGACTGAATTGTGCCACTGACACTTCTTAAAACATGCTGAGGTTTGAGGTGGGGTAGCGAGACAGTGGACCCAAGGATGCAGACTTGATGTTTCAAAAAGGTAAATTTTATAACACAAACAAAAGCCATAACCGGAACACAGGTATAAAAAAACCAAAACACCAAAAACCACACTAGGAGAACCAAAACAAAGTGAAAATGCAAAGAAATGCAGCATGTGTGAGCAGAAAATTATCTCATTTCAAAGCCGGAAAACACCTGCAGCTGCCTTTTGTCCATCATTTCCTTGCAGAACTCCTCATAGTCTGCCTGCAAACTAAACATGAACATGAACGGTTCACTGAGGTCTTCTTTATACTCTTCATCCAGGCCATCACACATGCGCAGCATTTCCACTGCCCTCAAGGAATCTTCCTTGTTCATGGTGATGACCTGGGGAAGGTAAAGTTTTCCCTTGAAGGATCTTGTGCCACACCACCTTGCTGCCGTTAAGGTGTCCATAAGCAGGGAATCCTCCTAATGAAAAATTAAGAATTAAATTCTGTAAGAGAGGAATGAAGGGAACAAGATTCATACATGTGAAAAAACACTAATGTAATTAATTAATTTATGTAATATGTAAGCTAGGCAGGTACCTTTGTGTTTAACTGAAGAATGGCCTTCAATATGGGTTTCAACCATTGTTTTTACACCCTTGTACTTGCAAAATGGACAGTGGAAACTTTCACAACCCTCATCAGTGCATTTTGAAAGTGATATTTCACCATTGATCAGTATGCTGATGTGTCTCTATATTAGAGGGGAAAACAATAGACATAAAAGGCACAGCAATTAGAAACACACGAGACAAAATATCAGAGGTGTGGACTCGAGTCATGTGACTTGGACTCGAGTCAGACTCGAGTCATGATTTTGATGACTTTAGACTCGACTTGACCAAATATAAAAAGACTTGCGACTCGACTTGGACTTTAACATCAATGACTCTGACTTTCACTTGGACTTGCGCCAATTGACTTGTAAAGACTTGCGTAACCCGGGCCATTTTTCTCCGCATCTTTCTTTCTATCTATGCCTATCTAAGCGGCACAACTCGGCAGAACACCGTCTCTGAAGAAACAAAGCCTCGCGGTAGTTGTAGCGCTCGCGAGAGAGTTCGAACGTGAGTTCCCCGCAGTTCGCGCAGCAACACTTCCCTAAACAAGCGCACTGCATTCACCGGTGGGTGTGTTGTCTAGGGGAGCTGGAAATGAGCGAGCTGCAGGTATTTATCGCGACCTAACGTCATATTTTGTTCTACAAACCGTAATTATATGCTTTCACTACAGGCGCCTCATACAATTGAATCGACGCAGTTGTCACACTGTGTGCCGTGTTTTAAAGAGGAACTGGTGAGTCAAACTAGCGCTAGCCTGCGCTGCTCTGTTGGCTCTTTCTTATATTTTTCTGTGTGGGCGCCGAGGCCTATTATTATGAGTATGTTTTTGCTGTGCTCCTCCTGCTAAAGTTTGCATACATTAGATAGTTGTTTTGATTATGTGCACTAAGCTAGATTAATATTTGCACTCTTGTTTATGGTACATTGATATGAGAATCAGTGCTTTGACTGATTGAATTAATTTATATGAGACATTTTAATATGTAATGATATATTGGTAATTATGAGATATTACTAATGCTGGTCCAGTTCATACAGGCCAGGTTCCTTCCCCTCCATTGGTCCCTTCAGTCCTTTTACCCCTCATACTACCCCTATCCTACAGTAGGACATTTGTAACAATAACCACTACGGACATTAAACTGATTATATAGATACAGGTCCCAGCCCAATACTGAGATTAATTGATTATAATATAAGCATACTATTCATATATGCTGCACTTGCTACTTCCCATTAAAAACCCCAGAGATAAAAAGTATGTTGACACGGACTGCTCTGTGTTTATGTGTGGTCTGTGCATGTGTAACTGAGCCTGCATCTTGCACAACATCCAATTAGATCACATAGATAGTTTTGATTTACCAGCAGCCAACGACATGGAACAAACTGTTAGTCCATGGGTCAGAGACCAACGAAAATGCACCAGCAAAATGATTCCTAACATTATTTTGTTTGCCTACAAAAGTACGTGGAGACCAACAAGAAACAAATCGCAGTCAAAAAGACTCGAGAGGACTCGAAAGTCAAACCGTAGGACTTGGGACTGACTTGAGATTTGTTGGTCTTTGACTTGGACTCGACTCGGGACTTGCCTGTCTTGACTCGGGACTTGACTCGGGACTTGAGGGCAATGAATTGAGACTGACTTGTGACTTGCTAAACAATGACTTTGTCCCACCTCTGCAAAATATATGAAATAATTTTTCATTTCAAAAACAAATGTCATGTCATGGATGTTAACATGCAAGGAAGAGCAATATCAATTTCCTGCAGATTACTCAGATGTAAGTGTCAGATTGTCAAATGCTTATGAATGGTACCATTTCAAATATGCTTAAATCACATATTAGCATATTGGCTTTATATTCTTACATTATTCTATATTCAACATGTAACAACGATTAAAAAAGTAACGTATTTTCCCCGCGAAAAGTTTAATATTTCCCCCCCAAAAGTAATAACGATCACATAAAATTTTCTCCCCAAAGGTATAATATTTTCCCAGTACGTTGTGCCGGATAAATATGAATCTAAAACCCAGAAAAGTCGTTTTTAAGTCCAGGTTTATATAATTTTCGCTGCAACAGTAATGCTAGGTATACTAGATTAGAAGTCCAACCGTGCAGAATGCAGATACATACAAGTATAACTTATTTTAAAATAAAAATAATGTTACTTCCTTCCTTGTCGGTAACAAAGTTGCACGTTAAAACAGAATGAAAAAACTGGCCTACAGTACCTCCATTCTGCCAGCTACTTCGCTCTTCTTCTCCTCTGCTTCTTCTCCTTCTCTGTCATACGCCCCGGCGGAGCTCAACGTGGGCGGCGTCAAACGTTTGACTCCGCCCACGTTGAGCTCCGCCCCGATCTGCGGACTGCAGTCAGGGGCTACTCCCCCTGATCCACACTTCGCCGTAGCTGCATCTATGCGCACTCTGGCGAAGGATATTGCCCATAATTCTTTGCGGTACACACCAAAACGTCGGGAAAATGCATTTAAATATAAATTTTGAAATATATATGCAGTATGTGTGTAAATAAGTTTTGCTGTTACTTGGAAAGAAGCATAAACGTCTGATGAAGAATTATGGACATTGTGTTTTAACAATTTAATAACTTTTTAAATCAAGTGTTTATATAACATTCAATTTAAACTTTACACTTAGTACAACAATCTTAGAATGTATAAAAAGTGACCAGCTAGTTAGTTACCCACTTTTGACTTAAAATTATACAGCTATTTCTAATTAAAAACAACTAATATACATGTATTTTAACGTGTGTGAAGAAATTCATTTTGTTTCCCAAAGGGTCAGACAAAATTACCTTTAATGTTTATAAAGTTTAGGTCTGAAAATGACCATCTCTTGACGAGTCGATGACGTAACCTGCACTCAGTGTGCACTGTCCCAATTCCGCCTTTTGTGCACACTTGTAACCTGCGCACTCAAACCCTTGCGTGCACTTCAAACACATGCACACTTCATAGGAGAGCGTAGGGTGCAGTGTGGGTATTGGGACTGGGCCTCTGTATAGATCCAGCACATAATAGTCACGTGACGCAGCGGGCGTGTACGCCTCATTTCCGCAAACATGGAGGCTGTCGTGAGCGATGTTGTCGCTCCGGAGGATCTTCTAGTAAGTGTTTTCTCTGTAACATAATACATCATTCCATACTTCAGCCAATGTGTATGCGGCGACCTTATGTAACACACACTGTTTCAAAGTATCTAAATACGTGCGTGAAACTTTGAGTATTGATGAACTGTTACTGTGCAAATCTCCGCTAGCTCAAGCTAATGTTTTCCATGACGTCTTGGATTTTTGTTGTTGATCAACGCTAGTTCTAGATTGTTAATACAGATCGAGGGTACGATCTGTATTACGTTATTTATGAATCGTAAGTGTTGTCTAAATTAAATTGAGATGCTTGACTTTTATTTTGGCAGAAATTTGAGAAGAAGTACAACAATGAGCTGCTAAAAGGAGCCGTGTCCAAAGAGACTAAGTTTGAGTACGCGTGGTGCTTGATCAGAAGCAAATACACGGACGACATCAAGAAAGGAACTGTGCTTCTGGAAGGTGAGCTCATGACAGTCAAGCGTTCTTGACAATCACTGGGTTAAACCACTACTTTGTTTGTGTAATGATACATTGTGTTTGTCCGAGGAGAAAGAGTCTTCTTTTAAATAACATTGTGTGTAAAGATCAGACCATGACATGACGTCTTTATCTTATTAGAAAACATCTGATCTTTTACATACTGATAGCTGGTTGGCTTAGTGAGTGCTGGTGCTCTCCTTTTCACTGAAAAAGATTATCTAAGTATTTGACAGAGGCCAAAAATAAACCTATGCAGAATATATATGTGTACATATGTATATGTATATATCAGGGACGTGCGGTGAGGTTTGTGATTGGGGAGGCACTGACTTTAAAAGTCAGATTTACAATCATTATTCAAATAAAATAGCATTTAATCACCAATGCAATGACATCCACAAACTTTATATACTGTAAAGATAAGAGAACCAGCTTCTTTTAATAATCTCACAACAAATCTAGCTGCTGACTCTGCTCCGCATCAAACAACATCTTTAAGAAGCGCAGGTGCGAGAGACGCGAGGAGAGAGAGACGCGAGGAGAGAGGAGCAGAGAGAGATGGAGACGCGAGGAGGAGAGAGAGACGCGAGGAGAGAGAGACGCGAGGAACATAAACAATAATTTAAACAAGTTGCAGAACTCTTGAGCAGTGTTTGAATCAGTGTTTTTTGGAAAAGCACTACTTTGCC